TTTTTTTTTGAATCTTTCTATTATTTTGATTACTTTTTCTATTTCACTTAATTACATAAAGATGTTTACACAGAAACTGAAAACACACTGCAATAGTACGTCATTTAGTTATTTTAATTTTTTATTTTTGATAAATTTGCTTAGTAACTGTACGTAGAAATATAATCTCAATTTTTTTAAATATTTATCTATATTCTTTAGGATTTGATATAATTGTTTGTTGCAATACAAATAAGTTCCTAGGTAATACACATAATGATTAATATGACTTTCTCTCAGAATATAATTAATATTCATTTTCCATTGAAAACATATAAAGTATAGCATAATTACTAAAAAGGAAAATTATATCAACTATCGATTTATACTCAATGAGACGCAAGGAATCGTTATGATCTATCCTTGAAATAAAACAAAAATACTTTCTTTTCTCCTTCTTTTTCTTTTTTTCACATTTTGTTTTCTGATAATAACTAAATAAAAGAGATATCTTTAATAATATTTTTATAGTATTAAATGTGAATATGATTAAATTATATATTTTCATTTGATTAAGATTGATAAGGTCAAATGTGGATTGTTTGAAAATGCTTAAGATTACTCGAGTAAAGTAAGAATATTATCACAGTGTTAATGTTAGAGTTAGTATTGAACAAGAGATTCATACATTTATATTAATTGAAAACCTGAATTACATATAGCGTTGTTTACTTTTATAAAATAATATATAACTATTAGAAGATTTATTTTTGAATTATTTTTTGTACGTAATTGTTCATCATATATATAAAATTCTTATTCTATTAGTTAGTCGATCGAAAATATAATATATATATATAATGTATTATTCAGATATTAATTTTCATGGCTGATAGATATTTGAAATATCTTTCGGTAAAATCAAATATTATTATTATTATCATTGGGTAAGAAATATTATATTTATTTTATTGGATTATATAGTAAGAATAACTTTTATTAGGTTTTTAATTGATGAAATATCGGCTCTGTCTATTTGTCCAACGGCTGTTTGGGCATTGAATGCAACAACAGTAGTTGGTTCCATAGGGACACTAGTTAAAACCCCAGTTACCATTATTGTCGACAATAACAGTAATATTTATGTGGCTGATACTGGAAATTATCGTGTGCTACTACTTCCGACAAATTCCACTACAGGTATATTAAAAATCAACGGTAGCTTTGGTACTGGATTGAATCAATTCTCGTCGAGTAAGTATGCGATTCTTTTATTGATATTTTCGTTGTAGTTTTTCGATTTGTTCTAGTGACTGATATGCGTATGGATGCCAATGGTAATATCTATATACTAGATGGGACTTTATCACGTGTAACAAAATGGACACCAGGATCTACGAGTGGAATTCTTGTAGCGGGCGGTGGTTCCTTCAATGATTATTTTGATGGACATGTGGACATCATGGGTCAATCTGGTGGAATGTTTATTGAACCTCAATCATTGTTTATTTGGATAGCTGATACAAACAATAGCAGAATCGTAAAATGGGTAAATTCATCAACAGCACTAACAGTAGTCTATGGTAGTTACGGTCGGAATTCTAATCAATTTATTTCTCCAACAGGATTATTCGTTGATACAGCTGCTGAAAATACACTTTATGTAGTAGATTTTGGAAATCATAGAATACAAATGTGGCTTCCAAATGCAACTAGTGGAATAACGGTGGCTGGACTAACAGGTTACTATGGTACTGGACTAAATCAACTGTGGTATCCATCAGCAGTAGTTGTCGATAGTAACCAGAATATGTATATTACAGACATGGATAACTATCGAATTCTCCAATGGAAAGTAGGTGCAAGTTTTGGAATGGTCATTGCAGGAACAGCACTAAGTACAGGATTATCGCCAAATCTACTTGGTTATCCATCTACTATTAGCTTTGATCCGAGTGGATCACTTTTTGTTGCTGATACTACAAATAATCGTGTACAAAAATTTGCTATTTTTTGTCGTAAGATTTAACTCAGATTAATAATTTTATTTTAATACTATATCGATATTCATTTTTATTACAGTGGTAAACATATCAACTACAACGGTTTCATCAGTAGTAACTACGACAAGTAAGTATCATATTATTTTAAGCAAAATAGATATTCATTTCAATATTAATTTTTGCAATTTTTTTTCTGATTTTGAGATAGCATTTAACGCAAATAATTAATAGTTTATTAATCGAGAGGTAAATAAGTCATAGAAGTTTTCGTATGAAAAAAATTCGACAATAAGTAATATAACTTGGACACTAAGAATCAGATAGATATAGTTTAAGAAACCTTTTCTTTGTTGAATTACAAAATAGAAATTCAATTCTTAATATCAACACTTTTTCTCACTTATTACTGCATATATAATAAACTCATAAAATACATATTGTACTATGTTTTTGTTTTTATTAGTGCCTATTTAGACTTCAAATTGCCCAATGACTGTCTGGGCATCAAATGCAACAACAATTGCTGGTTCACCCATTGGTATTGCAGGTTTTACCACAGCACTGTTAAATTCTCCTATAGGCATCGCGGTTGGCAAAAATGATTCGATTTTTGTCATAGACTATGGTATATCATACTATCGTGTGCAACTTTTTTATCCTGGTAGTCAATTAGGAACAACAATCATTAACGCCACCTTAGGCACAGGTCTCAATCAACTCTCTACCGGTAAATATTCTAAGATAGTTGATATATAACCAATGTTTTCTTTATTTTAGTCACCAATCTGAACATAGATGCGAGTGGTAATATATATATACTTGATCTAGGAAACGATCGTGTTACAAAATGGGCATCAGGAGCATCAGCGGGTATACTTGTAGCGGGTGGTAACGGAGTTGGCAGTTCTCTCAGCAAACTAAATTCTCCTTGGGACATATTCGTTGAGCCAAATACATCTTATATTTGGATAGCTGATTCAGGCAATAATCGAATTGTTAAATGGATAAATAAATCGACTGCGATCCTAGTTGCCGGAGGGAGTGGTTCTGGTTTACAAGCTAATCAATTTAATACTCCATACGGATTATTCGTCGACACATCTGATTCAAATACACTTTACGTAGCAGACACAAAGAATTATCGAATCCAAAAATGGCTTTATGGAGCAAGCAATGGAACAACGGTAGCCGGACAATCAGGCGTATCTGGTAGTGCACTTAATCAACTTAATTCTCCAGATGCTTTGACTATGGATACGAATGGATCAATGTACATTGTGGATCGTGGGAATAATCGAATCGTTTTATGGTTATTAGGATCTACATCGGGCATAGCTATTGCTGGTTCAAATACTTACGGAGCATTACCATCTCAACTATATAGTCCTTACTATGTTAGACTTGATTCAACTGGAGCACTTATTGTCAATGATCACTATAACAATCGGATTCAAAGATTTTCTGTTCTTTGCTGTAAGTTTAATTCGTTTTTATAAAATATATTTAACGTGTATAGATACGTCTAACGAGAGGACGTTGTCAACTGTCCAATCAAATTTTTTAATATAAGCTATTGAATTAAAGATTATTCACTATGCAGATTTCAAATATGAGTATGAAAAATCCTCTTAGATCTTCATGGGATGGTTTTCTAGAAAACTATTTTCAAAATAATAACCTTTTTACTAACTATTGTTTTTATCCGCTCGTATTATGGAGCATATTGAATTATCTATAAAACAACAACAACTATTTCTGTTTTAAATTGAATCCTCGAGAAAATACAGCCATGTCCATGTAAATCTATATAACAAATGCACACTATAATAATATAATAGTAAAACAGGAGAGTTTATATTATTTTTCTTGAGGTTCATTTTTTGCAAAACAGAAAAATTTGTTATTCTGAAGACAATTTGATATACTCTATAATCTGAACAGATAAAAAACAAAATTTAGTTAAAAATTTGTTATTAATGAATTTAATCTAAAAAGAAGAGAAGGTTTTTACTCATAATTTATTTTTCTTAATTATATTTTTTTATTTTATGTCTTCTAGCACCATATACGACGTCATCATCAACAACGTCATTATTAACCAACTCAACACCAATTGCTGCTACATTACAAAGTAAGATGGAATACATTGATTCAAAAACAAAATATCTAAATTATGCGATCATCTGTTTTTTTGTTATAGACACAACAACTGCTGTTCCACTTACTACCAATAGTCTTACAACATTAGCAAGTGAGTAGAAAATTATCTGAAAAGAAGTAGCTAGAAATAAAGTTTTATATGAAAAATACAAGCATCAAATGCGTTAATTATGTCGCATATAGAATATAGGTTTTAAACATGATTTAAGTTTATTTATTTTCTAATGAAAGAGTAATTGTCAAGTAGTTTAGAAAAATAAAATTGTTTTAACATGTAAAACTATGATATAAAACTACAGTAATAGGATGCAGCTAAGCGTTTATAGCAACGCACTTTAACAATATCAAATGAATAGAAAATAATATAATGAAGTAACGCACATTTTTCATGATGTATATTCATTTGAAAAATTATAAAAATAATTCCATTATATAATATTTAGTCGATGTTTTGTTTATAATTTGAAACATCTAATTAAGATTAACAAGATTTTATGATAAGAAAATATATATTATAAATTACAATTGGTGTATATACATATCTTCTATAAGATGATTGTGTGATAATGTTATATACCACTTAAAAATTATGAATACTTCTATCTATATGATATGAATATAATCTGTTAGATAGAATGATGGATATAGCCTTGATATTTGTAAAATTTATAGAAGCTACAAAGATAAATATGTTTGCAGGATATTTCGAACAATAAATATTAAAATTGAATTTTATATAAGATAAATAAGATTGACGTAAGTGTTATCTTTTGAACAAAACTATTTAAAGAGATCATATCACGATATATTCCGAAGTTATTTTTATACAATATATTAGTTTTATTTCATAATCAGTTGTCTTTCATACTATTGACAAGATACACATTTTTTGTAAATCAATATCTCTGTATTTTTTCTAATTGACTTAACAGATGGAATTCGGAAAGTTTGTTTTGCAGATATTTAATAGGGGTGCCTTATTATCATTACTTTTTCTTTTTTCAATTTAGCGTGGATCATAAGACGTACCAACAACTAATATGCGTCCATAGTGACCTGTATGTCTTATGATTCACACTAAAATGAAAAAAGAAAAAGTAATAAAGTAATGGTAATAAGGCAGTCGTAATATTTAATTAAATATTCTTTTCTTTCTATGTTAAAAATTTCTTTTTAATATAATTATACTCGATAATGCAATAGCAGTTGTTGAATTAGCCTAACTTAAACTAAAATTGATTATAAATTTCTGTATTTCGTATAGAAACATATAATATGAGAAAACATAAGAATTACATTATCAGCTCAAATAAAAATTCAATGCAGGATCTTTTAGATAAGACAGAATTCTATGAAAAATCTTTATTACAAAAATTTTATTCTCCTTTCTAATATTAGATTTTATTAAGAACTCGACTAAAAAGAAAAATGGAATTTATTAGTACTAAAGAGTAAAAAGAAGTAAAATTCTAACTATTAAAATTGTAATCGACGTGAAACACAAACGAAATTATTCATTTTCTCTTTTTCAATAATGTTTCGTATATTTGCTATTATATTGACGAATTCAAAGTATTTATATGGATAAATAAATCATAATCAGATAGTTAATTAGAAATCTTAGAATACTGTTACATGAGATCAATAGTTGAAGACATTTATCATATTTAGATAAAAATTATTCAGAGAACTTATTTAAAAATATCAATTACGAAATATCTATCAAACACAATATATTGTTATTTCTTCTCCCTAATGTATTAACTATTTTTTAAATAAATATTATATTCTGTTTTTTTCACTATTAGATAATCCAACAACTATACTATCAGCTTCAACATCAATCGCAAGTTCAGTTACATCATCAACAACAGTTTCAACGTCAGCAGTAGTCACACCATCGATCACAGTTTCAACGTCAGCAATAGGTACACCATCAGCAATAGTTCCAACATCACCAATAGTCACATCATCAGTCACAGTTTCAACATCAGCGATAGTTTCAACATCACCAATAGCCACACCGTCAACAACAGTTTCAGCAATAGCCACACCATCAACAACAGTTTCAACATCAGCAGCAGATACATCATCAGCAATAGTTCCAACATCACCAATATCCACATCATCAACAACAGTTTCGACATCAGCAATAGTTACACCGTCAACAATAGTTTCAACATCAGCAATGGTCACACCATCAACAACAGTTTCAACGTCACCAATAGTTACACCATCGACCACAGTTTCAGCGTCAGCAATATCCATACCGTCAACTACAATTTCAACATTACCAATAGCCACACCGTCAACCACAGTTCCAGCATCAGCAATAGTCACACCATCTACAATAGTCTCAGCATCACCAATAGTTACACCATCAACAACAGTTTCAACGTCAACACTGGTCACAACATCACAAAACAGTAATTCAACTAATACTATAGCAAAATTATCATCAACAAGAGCTACAAACTCTCTATCATCAAATTATTCATTCGCAACTCGTCATTCGAATTCAAAATTATTAGTAGTATTATTTTGTGCTTTTATGATTTTTACAAACAATTAATTTTTCATTTTATTTATTCATTAATCTCTTTCTAATGCTTTCAATGTATTTAAAATTCATTTGCTTTTTGTCTAGTCAATGAATTGAACCCGCTACAAATTCTATAATAATTTTATTTATTGAACTGATAATACTAAGTCTGCATTATCTATTTGATTTTATTTGGACAACGAGGGTGTGGCTGTGGCTGTAGCTATAAGTATGGGTGTAAACCTCTATGAAAAGATTAATCATACGCATACCCAAACCCACCCTACATAGTAGGAGAGTTGAAAATAACATCCATTTAGTACTACTAGCAATTGACAAAATTCAATAAGGGTAACCGCAATGCGTTTTGCTAGCTTCTGATTAATTCCTAGTATTAATCTCTTATCCACGCCCTCTGATGAGTCTCTTAAGCAAGGACGAAACCAGTCATGACTGCTAGTTATTAGTGCTTACGATTTTTTAACATATAGAATATTTAAGCTATTTGAAAATCATCTTAACTGACATGAAACCGGTCATGGCAGCTGTTCTTACATCCTCACCCAGTCTTACACCCCTCAACATACAGCATCTTGTTCTGAAATGTGTTCTCTAATTATAAATGCCGCTTTGTTCACTAAAACGTCAATTTATCTTGTTTATTAAAAAAATTATAGAAATACAAGAAAAATGAATAAGTTTGGAATGAAAATCCAATCTGTCTGTCAAACTTTTTCTATTTACTTTCTTCTAGTTTTGATCAGACTGAAAAGTCAATTTGTTATTACTGATCTGTAATATTTGTTTTTCTTGTAATTCTTGAAGAACATAAGCATAGACAGCTTCGGGCATGATCTGTCGGTAATCATGATAGGCTTTACCAGCAACTCCAGATGCACCTGCTGCACCGCCAACACTTCCACCAACAAAACCTCCAACAACAGATCCTACCAGTGGTATAGCCGCTCCAGCGGCAGCACCGATTACCACACCAGCACTAACACTCGCTAAAAATGCAGTTAAACCAGCTGTCACCGTTTTGCCCCAGTCTACCTCTTTTGTTTGGATTGCACTTGCAGCGACGATATTATATTTATCATCGCGCTTTTCAGCATACAAAACGTACGATTTTCGCAAGGTGTTTGACTGTGGTAGATCGTTATTACCACCATTACTTGCAAGCAACGTCGATGGATTATTATTTGTTAATGTTGTTAATGCCAATTCGTACAGTTTTCGTAATTCTAAATCGGAACATCTACTGGTCACGATTTTCATTTCATCGCGGTCGAGACCTTCGTTTTTATTCCAATCAAACTGATGATTATAGCGAATCAATGTCATCAGTTTTTGATCGCGTCGTAAACTTTCTAAATACATTGACGCTTGACAAGGATTGAATATTCTTGGGTTACTTTCCATAAACACAGCGGACATGGTAAGAACGATTTGAAACCAAGAATGAAGAGAGCGAGAAGAGATTTTTTCGTTATTCACCTTGCCGATATATGAAACGACATACTCCTTTATATGCACAAAGATAAATAAGTCGGAAGAAAAAAAAACCCAAAAAGAGAAAATATCAACACAGCGAAGCGTATTATGTGTCAAAATGAAATTACCGTCATATACAAAACGATAAGATCAGAACAAATATTTTTCCAAGTATTATACAGACACAAGTTGCAACTTAATATATAAGACGTCAAACACATTTCACTTTGAATAAATCTTATTCACGAAAGCACACACACACACAGCTTTCTTCCCACCAATTGTATTCTGCTGAAACAGTCAGTTATGTCGAAGGCCCCTATTTCTGAAATTTCTCGCAATGAAGTAGTTAAATATACTGCACAAGTAGAAAGTACACAAGGTGTATTTTCCATGATTCAACAATCATTTACTTTTGATTTTGCAACATATCAACAGATCGATGATAACGATATGCAAACACTTGCCCGTCGAGTTCAAGATGACGATTTAAGAAATCTATTGCTTCAATCTGTTTTAATTGGCAATACTGGTGCAAAATATACAGATCATAATATACCTGGTGAAACTGGATTTAAGAAAACATTTTTGGCGTTCCGAAAAGTCGACGGAAAGTATGATGTTGTTTATTGTACAGCAACACAAAGAACAAAAGTCGATTGGGGGAAAATCGGTGCTTCTATAGGACTTGGAGCTGCAGCTGGAGGAGCAGTTGGTGGAGTAGCTCTATTAATACCCGGTATAAATATTGGAGCAGCAGCATTAATGTTAGGAGGAGCTGCTATCGGTGGAGTTACTGGAGGTGCAGCTGCGGGCACAGCAGCTATTATACAAAAACGGGATATATCAAACGTTGTTATGGGTTACATTGGAAAAGAACTATCAGATAGAAATCTCCTACGATTAGTTTAAACCAAATCAATGATTCATACTAGTTTTTCATGTGCCTGTGATTTTTCTTTGTACTTCATTGAAACAAAAGTAGATAATATTATTCCAGAAAGTGACTTTCTTGTATGTTGTGGCTTATAAACTTTTATTTTTGCTTTCCAAAAATATAATTGCCATTCAGTATGTACACTCTTGTTTTTGTCGCGAGATTAGCTGAAGATTGAGTAACAAAAGAGAACATCCTTTTTCAGCAGTACTCAGGTGGAGCATACTCTGTCGTTAACGACCGTTAACGGAGAAAAGCGGAGATCGTACAAGACTTTCATATACGACTGCCGTGTACGAAGTGATACGACGAGAAACGTATTTTATATACGGAGGCCGTGAAAAACCACGAAATATCTGGAAGGTAAACTTCTATACTCCGTATACCGAGGTATACGACTGCCGTATATTATCGTTTGTCACTATGTGCAATTGTATATGGTCGTACACGACTACTATATGCTCAATCTGAGAAAATCGTAACGAAGTAAGATTTGAATAGATGTATTATATTTTTTAGTATTTATGTTTGCATTATGATTTTTCAGTATTATTATAATATTATATTATTTCAGATTGTTTCATTTTATTTTGTTACTCTGTTTTATTTTATTATTCTATTTTATGTTATCTTATCGCATTTTATTTTATTGTATTTTAGATTGTTTCATTTTAATTATTATTCTATTGTATTTTATCTTATCGCATTTTATTGCATCTTATATTATTGTATTATATGATTCTATGTCATTTTATTTTAGATGATCTAAAGTAATATATTTATCAAATAGTAAGTACTTGATTTAATCCAAATTATATTCTGTTCTCTTTCTCGTAGAGAAGAGTTCAGTAAACGTAAACTGTTTGCTTGCTTGTGTGTCCGCAGGGTCAAAAAAACATCGAAGACCGATTTTCAGAAAAAGATATTTCTTGAGGTATTTCGATACCGGGAATTCAAATGTGCACCTCATTTGCTCACACTACCGAAGGGGGGAGGGTGAATTGGGAGGTGATGCGGACTGATAGAAACTGAGTTTCCAGGTGGGTGTGGGTAGATGTTGGTGGGTGTGAGTTTCTTATTAACTTTGTATGAACCCTGACACTCACCCGCATGCACACTAACACCCACACTCTTGACGTAAATTAATTAAGAAGAACAATTCAAGAGGACAATGAACTGATCAAATTTGTATAATAAATTTTTCACAAACATTTATTCCTGTTTTATAATTTATAATCGATTGATTTGAGTTATAAAAAGAGAGATTTTTTTTGACTAAACACTGAGAATTATGGTGAGTATGATTGATAAGTCTTCTAAATAAATTCTCAGAGACATATAGGAACTAAGAAAATGGAAAAGTTCTTAAAGAAAAACTAAGTACATTGTTTTAATGATCACAAGACATATCTCTACTTCAAAAAATATGATATTAATGAGCAAGTATAGATTTTGAATATCGAGAACCATTTTTCGTCAAATTATCTTGATAAAAAACAGATTTTATTTCGATATAATTAAGTAATTGTCGTAGAATCAAAATTTAGTTCTTTGATTTTGAATTCATGTCATATTGTATTTGCGTATTACTATTCGAAGACAAAAGAATTTTTTAAGAATACAAATAATAGAATAGTTTTCATTGTTTCGTCATGGTGTATCATTGTAAGATGATGATGAATATGAAAATTGGTGTTACTTCTGAACAAATTGATCTATGATCAGGATGAGTTGAAGATTGTAATAGTTCTCTAGTGAAAGTATTCAAAATTACAGAATTATTATTATAGTTAAATAGTTTCGTTTCGAATGGATAGAAATTAACTGATTATTAAAAAAATGCGAGCGGACCGGGAAAAAAGTTTTAGGGGAAGGGAAGAAATTATCCTTCTGAAAAAATTTTTACGGGCGAATAAAGTTCTATTTTCCTCTCTAGCCCTGTCGATGCTAATGTAGTCGTGACCAACAACATATTCCACAAAGACATAGAATAATCTGGAAAGGAATAAATATCATCTCAAATAACGACGTTTTGCATTCACCATAAGTATCTCCACAATCATCTATAAAACGATGAATTAATGACATAAAAGATTTCTTATGTGACTTACCGGCACAACACCAACTACCTGCCGATGTTGTACATGCACGTCCTAAAATATCGAAAAGATTTGTGTTAAACTTAATTTTTTCAGATAAATCTTTGTTGGTATTTAAGTTTTCTATTGAGAATATATAATTTTTCTATTATTTCAAAAAGAATTCGATATTGTTTTTTGTAGATTCGAATACAACAAATTATATCATCAATCATTTTTATCTATCAATGAAATAAATTAATTTTTGTATTTAGTTGATTAACATAGGTCATGTGTTATCAAAAATCTCTTATAAATTAATAGATTTTTGTTGAACTATTTCATAGTGAGAACTGAATGTAATTTTATGTATTACTTCTTCTCAAATGTGATTTTATAAAATTGTTTAAAAAAATCTGATCTTCGTTGAAATAATGTTCATCAAAACGAAACTTTGACACCTGATATTTCTAATACAAATCTAACTTTAAATTGATACTTGATATTAAATTTAACATTAGCTAGACTATTTCACAAGTATTTAAACTCGTTTTATGAATATAATTCTTCTTTTTGATGATTTTTTCAATTAGTTGAATTTCGTCTATTACTTTGTAAATCTATACTCGAAATATAAGCTAAAGTCTTAATGTAAATTTTCAAGATCTGTTCATTCATCTAATACTATGATTTTACTCACGTGATAGTTTTCCACCATAACAATTTTTGGTCGTGGTCTGTTGTTGACTACTTAAGACAAGATTAGGATATTTTACAGAAGGAATTGAAATATGCTTGAAGTTGCCATAATGAATGTATGGAGTAGTTGAAGTTGTTGTTTGTGTATTCGAAGAAAATCGTTTGTAGAATATACGGGAATCTGATTGTGATTGTCTAGAACTATGAGAGTTGCGAATATATTCTAATCGATTTGTTGTTGATAATAATTTTTGAGTAAAAATATTCGAATTAAAATCTTTTGATTGAACAGATAATAAATAAATAAAAATAAAAATAATATTTAAATAATATCTCATTTTCAGTAAGTATTAAATTGAATATTTTATAATAAATATCATCATCAGATAGTCTAAATTATAAATGATATTGAAGATATATGAATGTCTATAGCTTATTATTTTGTCTGAGAACAAATATATGTTTGTGCCAAGGACGAATGATAGGCATCCTTTTGAATAAGACTACTTATATCTATTTTAGTAATGTGTGATCATTTCTCTGCTATTTTCTATTTTCTCCTTCCTTTTTCTTTCTTGCTCTCTTCTGTTTTTATTCTATTTAGAGGAGATATATAACAAGTTAGTTGCAGTATAGAGTCAGTAGTTGTAGCAGGTTATAATAAGATGCAAGCAAGACAATCGAGTCTTATTGTTAGAAGGTGAGTTATAGTCTTAGGAAATAGAAATCGATCAGAGTTGAGACTGAAAAACCAGATATATTCGAAACCTTTGACATACAGAGAAATTGTATATATATAAACAGAGTATAATGTGTATTTATTGCTTTTATTATTATCGTTATTATTTAATAAGTCATTATGTTTCAGTATTATAAAAACGTTTTACACTACATCTGCTCACATAATTCACAATCAACTTTATTTACGAAAGTATGATTAAGAATAAATAAGATAGAAGAAGTTAAATATTTATCTAATCAATGAATCTATTCGATTTTCTCATTTCTTTATAAAATAAAATCTTGAGAATTGAAAAAGAATATTCAAAATATTAGCCATAAAAGACATTTTCTCCGTAATTCTGCTAAAATTGAATAAATCTATAGTTTATATAAAATTTATTTTGCTTTTCAATTTTATTTCAAGTGTTAAGAATATGTATAGCGTTATTATTAAAATACATCTCACAAAGAAAATAATATAAACTAATTATATACATTGTATTTTATTTTTATTCGTTTTGAATGTCAATGAAACACCGTTAATTATTATTATGAGTCTTTTTAGAATATTATCTATTGAAAAAGATTGTCAATCTTCTTAATATAACAAATTCAAATGTCCGAAAAACTATGAATTATTAATATTTATTTTCTCTTTGTCTTAAGATTATCACTTATAGTTAGATTAATTCAATTTGAAGTTTTTGTTCAAGTATTTTCTAATAGATCCAATCAATCGATATAATTCTCTTTCTATAAGAATATACTTCGAAGACTTAAAGAACAACAAACTATGATGACATATTTTTCTCAATTAACCTCTACAATATCTCATCAATATGATTGACCTTTACATATAATATTTTCATGATTAACATTTATCATATTGGTATTGAAAAACAGCAGAATATTACGTCAAGACCCATGAAGGATTGTCGTATACGAGAATAGAGAATTAAAGGTAAATAGTTTATTCACACTCTTGAGGGTGGGTGTTCTCTTGATCTCTAACTCACACTCACGCCCATACCCTCGGTTTCTAGATCTTATTTACATGTCTCTTCAAAGAATAAAATAATAATTTAACTGCAATTATTTTTTGTGTACGTTCATTTTTCTAGAATCAAAGAGTGAGATATGTAAGTTCTTATCTAGTTTATTGTGGTTTGAAAATTAAAATATGAGCAAGCGTTAATCAAACATTTAATTAGATATAAGAAAATCAGGGAGTGTTTGTTTAACCTCGCAAAATATGTCAAAAAATAAAAGTATGTATCATTTCTATATATAACCATAATGTCCACCTTTGTCTTTAGCCGACATTTCTTCTTTTGACATAGACGGCTGGATCTCTTGAATGACCGATAGACTCATTACCGGTTTGTGTCGATTTTCAGTCGAATAAATACCATGAAACCCTCCGACGATATAACACTGCGTCACCTTGCCACTTTTTTCATCTTCAAGCTTGACCGGAACACGAATATTGGGCAGTTTTATATCATCTGGATCACGAATATCACCTGCCTTTAAACCAAATAACTGTAAGATCCAACCAGTAATCAGTTTTCCGGATCCTCCACCGCCATAATCCAGACCCATGTCACGAGTGATGTCACATATTTTGATCCAAAATTCATTATTCACATTACCTTGATAAGTTTGAATAAATTCCTTAAATATGGGTAAAACACCTTCTATATAGGTGCGAAATTCGCCGTTACTAAATAATTGTAATTGTTGTGTCTTAGCATAGAGCGACTGCCAGTCTGCAAGAGTACCTATACAAAGACATGATCATAAAAATTATCTTATATTCCGTCAATAGAGATATAGATGTTATTAATATAAAAACAATGGGAAAGAATATTTAGGTGCTTTTTTTATTATTGTATAAAGTTCTGCCAATTATCGTTCTTATTCGATTTCTCTCTAACATATACTGAAATATTAAGTAGGCCCAAGAGATCAAATTTTGATTTTAAATGAAACTTTTAGTTAAGGTAAATAAAGATAAACTATCTTGAGGGCGATCAAGCGACAGTACTTACCCATAAAATGCACTTGTCGAATTCCACAGATACACATCATTCGATTATAGTCAAAGTAAGGTTTGAATGCATGCATAATGCATGCCGTTGAAAGGATCGATTCAACTTTGCCTGTAGTTGTAAAATCAGCGGTCAATACACGACACACATCACCTTTAGTATTTTTCGCGATCTCCACCTTCATCGCATCAAAAAAGTGATCCCACTGATTTTCACTCTGGAAGTCTTGAACAGTCAATTTTATTTTTCCTTCTTCATGTTCAACAAAAAGTGAACGGAGTTGCTCAGAGTTTTTATTGACATATTCAGCAAATTTCATGCATACAACCATCCACATATCGTCAGGCGATAGAACAATGTCATGATGTTGATTGTAAGCCGAAACAAATGCTTGTAAAACAGCATTCGATGACGTTTCGGTATGCGGTCCATTGGCAATTGTGTATAAGGACGAATAGTTCTTAAATGATTCGTCAATAATGTCGCGATTTTCCTCGACTTTACCAAGCCAATATCGTTCCACGTACGACTGTGGTTGAACAGAATGAAATTTAACCTTAGCTGGCTCAAGCTGAGCATCGATAACGACAGTATGAAAAGACATATTTTTCAATCAAACACAACCAAATGTTACTCTTCTCTTAATGTTGGTTCTTATTGACAGCAATATCGCATCTATTTTGTAAAATAACACGTCACCGTAATATGATGATTACTCACTCTCTTTCCTTCTCTTCCTACCACGTTTTATTTGCATGTTGGGGAGACAAGCATTCTGCAATATACTTTTATTTTTAGAGATATCGACAACAATAATAAAAATAAGTCAATATTGTGCAAATACATACTGCATCATCATAGTTTCAAACACGAAATTAGTTAAGGGTGTGTGTGCATCTTCATTCAAACCAATCTCAATACCACACCCTAAAAGCATTTGAATTTTTTTTGTATTTTACATGTATAATGAGTTACAAAATTTAATTCTTCTTTCAACAGATTTGTCGTCACAAATACTATCGTATTTATACAAGTTTTATTTTATAATTTTTTCAAGAATCTCTTGAGTTAAATAGATAGTATAAATGGTAATTAAAATTAGTCATCTATAAGTGATTGTGTGCATATATATCAACTAGCACACGAAAATAATACAAACAATAAAATTTCTAACTAATCGGCAGATTAATAAAGAATAATATTCATATATACTTATTTATAATTATAAGAGATAATTATTTACCATTAACAATCAATTCGCTGAAAATAAATCAGAAATATCTATCGTGATGAGATTTAAGGTACCTTTTCAATTTTATAATTATTTCAGATCATAAAATTTGTAGATTGTTAAAATTTTATGATATTCTTTATGATAGCTTTTATTTCAACATTATTCACAGTGATGATACTCTGATAGACACCTTTGAAAAAAAGAGTAATCTATGAAAAACCTATTCTTTTTTGATTACTGGAATATTATCATCTGCCAACTGAGTTTTTAGATTTATGTAATAACATATATTGCAATGTTTCCCCAAAAAAATACAAGCAACATAGACAATCACATATCATGAATCTTATATGTAATAACAAAGATTGTGTCTTTCCGCGAAAAAGAAAAGATGTTAAAAGAACGTCAATTGTTATTAGTCATATATAAACTATTTCTTTTTCATCATTTTATTTGATATTGATAAAAGTACATTTATTTTACCTTTCCAACAAATGTTTTACAGCTGCAAGTGCAGTTGATGATAGACGGAAAAATAGTATTTGAATTAGTTTTTGTAATGCAATAGTAAATAGCTGTTTGATTTACAAAGAAAACTGTACCACTAGTCAAATCATTATTCTAAAGTTTCACAAAAATCTTGTTTAGTCTTTAACTAATATAAAAATCAAGAGGAAGAAGTATAACGACGACAAGAGAAGAAAATTTTTTTTGTCTTGACTATTTCAACAAAAAACATTTTCTCTCATAATAAAATGATTAAAACACTGGCGAAGACGTAGTAAGTGAAAAACTAAACGTCGTTCTTTGCTTAGAAAAGGAAAGAGAACAAAAAGAAGAAAGAAAATGGTTCTTGTATCATTTTCCTCGTTAAAATATATTTACAGGCACGATAATAAATAATGAATATTAAACTTTAAGGATTTATATTTGATCAAGAAGAGCTTTTCATACATTTAAGTCAAATTGTAATTGATGCTGTTATATTATATGATTTTTTTCAAGTTTTAAATCAATATTTTATTATTTATTTTATGTTGATAAAAGATTGAAATTGTTGTATGATATAGTTAAAATAGAAAATTATGAGAATATGATTGACATATTTACTTGTTTAAGCTTGTAAACTATCACATTTCATTATATAGTTCTTAATTGAAAATTCAATATTGATTCAAGATTTATGATCCTAATATCAATGAAAAAAAAACAAGTTTTTTCTTTTTTTTTCAGTTAAAATACTACATCTCATAAATTACTTGAGATATGAATATAAATTTATTTTGACACATATTTTTTTCGAAAGTAACTGTTTGTCTATTTATTTCTGGTACGTTACTCATTTATAAACTTTCTTTTATATTATTATCTCTCATGAGAAAAAGGATGTATTCGTTTCGATTAATCCAAATCAGATTTGTCACATCAAAGACATCTGACTTGTGTTTTTTTTACCAGTATTCATGCATACACATGCCGATGCTCATTTGCTTATTTAAACAATTAACGATAGTTAGAACAGACAGACACAGACAAAGTCCATCTTTGCCGCACATGCAAACCAGACTTTCTCATCAGATTATATTGACTGACACCTTTTTTCTTGGAAATGACAAAATGCCGACAAACACACACACACACACACATAAATTCTCGATAATAAGCAGGTAAATATCTGTCTATGTGGATGACTGATCAGAGTCAAGTGGATTTAAGTTTCTCATCATGTGCGAAAATAAAATTAAAATGAATAAAAATATGCATAATCAATTGAGTTGACCGCACATACCGCTATACACTTTGGTGTTGTGTGAGAGAATATAGTGTGTGCATAATCGAATAGCAATAATCATAGGGTCACTTATTTTGTGAGCATTTATGTTCTGTCGTCTGTATCCACTATCAATCATCATATTCTTTTGTTGATCTCGATTACAATGAATAGAAATGAAGGTAAAGTGGCTAAGCTTACCTTCTCGCTCACTTGATTGTCTTTTTCTTTTCTCTTATGATGAGATCATCAAAACGCGACAATACATACCGGGCGATAATTTTGTTTCTTGACCACACACAAAACACACGATATATAAAAATGCTTTTCATTTACAATCTATGTACAGATGAATGTATTTAAATATGATATGCTTTATCAATGTACAATATAACAGTGAATAGAATGAAAGAAAGATTGACGAGGATCAAAGTACGTGTCAATAGATCATTGGAGGCAAGTGCTTGTTGCAAGAAATGTAAGTGTTAAATTCCATTAAGTCATAGTGTGTGTGCGAAAAACGATCAACACTAAATAAATGATTGAATGATATGAAAAATGAAGAATAAATTGTTTTCTTTTCTTTAAATAAGTACTATAACATCAATGATACTTATCAATTATGAAGTTAAGAACTCTTGAAAATAAAATAGATATTTATATTTATGCAATATATCAACAGAAATACTTCATTGATCCGGAACGCGTAATTTATACGAATAGAATTTGTATATTTATGGAACAGATGAAGAGAATGAATGTAAAATATCTCTAAAAAACATGCCGCTTGCCATTGTTTCTTTGTTCTTCTTATTTCTTTTTTTTTAGCATACACGCTGAACAAACGAGCTATGTCAAGCAAAAGATTGATGGGTTGTGGAAATTCTCTAGAGAACACAAACGGTGCCGCCGATCAACAAGACTGAAGACAGAAGTTTTTTTTTTTATTGCTGTTATGACTGCTCTTTGAAAAAAAGAAATGGGCATAAAAGAAAATGAGATTGTTTGACTGTTTTTGAATGAATAAAAAAAAAAAGTTGATGTTCAATTAATTTATATGTATATCGATTTACCACATGTCAAAAAAAGAAGAATTCACAGATGAGAAAAGAAACAATAGAAGAAATTTTTTTGAATGTGTGATAGAATTATTCTTTTGTTACGTCTAGATGTCAAAAATTAAAGAATTATTATCAACTGTCACACACAGATCATCTTCTTTTGATCGTGATATACCATAAGAGAAGTAGTAGTCAAGTAAACTAGAATGAGCTTTACTTTATGTTCCGACAAATCCAATTTTTTATTTCTTTTTCTTTTTTTTTTATTGAATGTCTCTTTTTTTTGACATGCCACACGTCACATCATCGTCTACCAATCAATCTTCGTCTAAAATTTGATTGGATGTGACACGCCTTTCTCCTGCCGACGGCAACGTCATTGCTGCTTTCTTCTCCACCCTCTTCCGTCTAAGTGCCAGTTCATTTCATCATGATTCTAACAGAAACACAAGCGCTCGAGTCCAAGTGTCAGTTGAAGCGTTAATTATAATCTCTCGTTCGCTCAGTAATTCTGGTTTTTCTTTCATATAAGAGATCTTTATAGTAGCAAAAAAAAACACAGAATAAGAAAAGAAAAAAATTTCCAGTAAGACATCACGATGAATTGAGCTACTTCCTCTTTCTCTCTCTCTGTTCTGCATGCGACATAGTGGTTGTAGTACTTTTTATCTCGGCCAATCTCGAACCTGCGAACGCTTTCTTTCTTGATATATCTCATTGTCGACAATACCCGCCAACACTCGGCTTTTTGCTTGTTCTCACACGCACACATACGCATACACATATAATCGCCTATCAACATATAAGTAAAAGAAGAAAATCCTTTTTTTTTGCCTTCGCTTATAACGGGAGAGAAGAAAAAAAAATAAAGAGAGCGAGAGAGAGAAAGAGCAACTCGCTTGCTGACTGGTCGAGAGTAACCGTTCACATTAAGAGTAATTACAAGTGTTCGCTTGCTTCGTCGTTAGTTTTCTCTCTTTCTGTGAGCAACAGCCTCCGTTTTTCTCTTTTTTTTTTTCTCGATTTTTTTTCTCTTGTGCATAGAAAGAAGAGAAAGTGCGAAAAGGTGAGACGTTTGCGCTTACGGATAAAGATTGACATCCAGAAATCTATCAAATCATACATACATCGATCACGCCACATAGTCCTATTAAATTCGACAGATATAAACCGTATTTATTACACGCTACAATTCGACAAGCACGACGGATATAAATACAAGACAATATAGACATACTTATAATAGATAGATATATTTATATATATATATAAAGAAAAAGAAGAAAATAAACTGGTCTGTCTTGTTTAATGAATGATGATCTTCATCTATCTATCTATCTTAAACTGTCTTTATATATAACCGCCAAATAAATTAGTCATGTCGTCTTGAACTCGTCGATTTCAATCAAATAATAGAGTAATGGCTGCTCAAAGGGTAATTTGTGTGATGTCATTTCTTGACGTTCGATTGATAATGAGATTTATTTATTTATTTATTATATTTAGTTACTTACCGATACAAATGGACCCTATTATGGAAATGGTAGTGGAGATTTTTCAACAACAAATGGTCCCAATGGTAATAACAATATGTATCAACCAACATTTACTAATGAAACATCGTCATCATCCCCGATTCCTCATCATCTACAAACTCTTCTTGGACCTATCGGTGAATCTTCAACAAATACGAATCATGCGAACAGTGTAAATGCCGATAATCAAATAAAACAACAAAAAGATATGATCTACAGGTAAATGAGTGTGAAAGAAAATAAGCATATAATATATTTTGACTCATCTTCCATTACTGTTCTTTAAAAAAACATATATTTATGAGAAAAGAATCGATCAAGGAGAAGAAAAAAAAAGAACGAATTAATTTTTGTTTCGTTTCTTGACAGCTGATTCTTTTTTTCTTGCCGTACATATTTATTGTGTCCAGTGATGTCAAGATTGATAGATTACTTCGTTGTTACTATTCTTCTGTATTGTTAATCGAAAGAGAAGATGAACAGTTTTTATTTCATCCGTTCATTGATGATAATGATGAGAAAGTCGTTGGGCCGAATCACCTTCGAGCACATTGTACACTCTTTTTTTTTGTTTCAATGCGGCCCTTCTTTTGCATACTATCATGAATACATATATACAGCTGTAATTTCGAAACCGATCATTATCTTCACGCTTCGCGTGCTTTTATTCTCGTGCTCTGACTTTTTCTTTCTTTTCATATCGATTGACGAATGTTTACTTCTATCTTGATGTATACACATATATCTGTTAAAGACCATTAGTTGTCAATAAAAAAAACAAAAGCAATTAAAGTAGCTTGTAAACATAGATGAAATGTAACAAAATACAAGAACAAAAAGAAAACCTACATATCTATTGGAATAAAAGAAGCATACATTATATGGATATTTGGTACTTTAGTTTCTCTGTTAATCATCTTGTTCGCTTCGGCTCGTCTATCTTTCTAATCACTCGGTTGGTTGCTATCTCTTCGTCGATGTTGTTATTGTACTAGTGATGATGGTGGATGGCCTTTCTGTGTGCGTCAGTGCATACCACTGACTAACTAATAATCGTCGGAAAGGCAAACGAGTATGGAAAGGAGAAGAAGAAGGAAAAAAAAAGATGGAAGCATACAATCGAGATCTTTTTCGCTGTCTATTTCTAACCTTATCGTCTCATTGGGTATTCTTTTCTTCTTTTTTTTTTCTTCTTTTTCTTCCACGGTTACACTATGAATGTGCTCTTGCTTGCAATTTTTTTTCTCTCGATTCTTGCATGCGTATGACAGTGATTGATGATCATTACGCCTGCTGCTCCTTCATCGGTTGCTGAAATTATACCAAAGTACTGATTACGATTATGACCTCATAGATATGAATTTTTATTGGTTCTTTTCTTCTTTTCTTTTTTTGATTCTTCTTTCTACCATCATTATTATTCAAATCGTAAATTGATATGACCGTAATCGAAATACGAAGGTATCAAAAATCTTTCTCTTTAATTTTCAAATATAAAAGATAGCTCGAAGCAAAAGAAAAGGGAGACAGAGAGAGAGAGAGATCGATTTCTTTATTATTTGATCATAATTATAGTTCAACTATGAATAGAAAATAAGATAAGAAGACAAGTTCATTTTATTTTATTTTATTTTAATTTTCTAATTTAGCCATCCATTATTTCCTTTATTGGCATTAATCTTTGAAAAATGTGAATTAGCAACTTGTACACCAAGAGATTCTGGTGGAGCAGGAGATGTTTGCTCATCTGAATCATTTAATGATGATGTTACGGAATTTGCTAAACAGGTAATATTTCAATTGTATATAATCTTATCATCATCGTCGTCAGTATATATATATATATATTCAAGTAAAAAGAATAAGGCAAAAAGAATTAAATTGAAGTGCATTATCGAGCTACTGTATATGAATATGTGTGTTATCACAAGATGAACATTTGATAAGCCACTTGAACAAGAAAATAAATGAAAAAAAATACATATATATTGATGATTATGACCTCCTCCTCCTCTCACTCCTGTCAGATTGATACTTGAATGAACAAACTATGATAAGATCTAGCAAATAGAGAGAACACACGAGAGGGGTGGAATATAAATTCACGTCATATACATTTGCAGATGTTTCCAATTGAATATTTCTTTTTCTTTTTTCAACAAAAAAGAAAACTTATCTTTTAAGAGCTAGCAAAAAAGAAAAATGTCATGCTGTGAGTTTGAACAATATTGTTCAATGTATTTTCAATTGTCACAAAAGTAAACGTGTTGAGTACTTATGTCAGATAAAAATTCTTCTCAATTAAGTTGATGAAATGAAAATATGATTAAACATCTCAAAGACATTCTTTGTCTACATACATCTAGTATATGTTATTACTAATGGTTGTAAGCACGTGCTGTTTATTAGCCTGATCTTATTTAAGATAAAGGAATGTGCTGTGATGATCCCAAGAGCAAATCAGCTCATCATCATCTTATCAAAAGCAACAGGAAAAGAACAAGTTAGCTCTTATATTTTTGTTTTATGGTGTAAATGAGAGAAAAAGCTTGAGGGTATCATTAAAATGTCATTAGCTTTTCATCTAAAGGGAAGACACAGAAAGATGAGAGGTCAAAAAAAAATATAATCGAACTAGCAGATCTTTTTTTTTCTTCTTCTCGCTTCTTGTACAATTATATCTTTGCGTTGTTCCGGATATGCTTTTTATTGTCAGTGCACCTGCTATTCTTATTTTAATGATCAATAAATTTCTTTTTCTAGCTTCAAAAAGATCAAAACTATATAACAACAAATCCGGAATTAGACAATGTGGTAAATAATTTATTTTTATGTGAATATTCCTTCCTATTTATTTAATTATAGATGATTCAAGCAATACAAGTATTACGATTTCATTTGCTTGAATTAGAAAAAGTAAAAAAACAAAAATTAAATTAAATCCTATGATATCGATCTATTAAAAAATATTTCATTTTAAGGTTCATGAATTATGCGATAATTTTACTCATCGTTATATAACATGTTTAAAAGGAAAATTACCAATGGATTTAGTAATCGATGAACGTGATTCAAATGTTTCATCATCAAAATCAGGTGATGAAGATGATCAAGATGATGATCAATCAAGTCCTCAACCACCATCAGGATTTCCACCACATCCACCAACAAGTTCATCACGTTCATCATCTTATAATCAACATAGTCCAGATGGTTCAACAGCATTATTTCCTCATCCAACTAAATCAGTAAATTTTGTTTTAATTCAATCATTTATCTTTGAAAATAATCTAAAATAAAAATTTTTATATTTAGCTTCGATCATCATCATCACAATTAACACCATTTGTTTCACCTCATCATCTTGGACATCATCCTCATCATCTTCCACCACCATCAACAACACATTTTCAACAACAATTACCTCCACCACCTCCACATCCATCATATTCAAATCATCTTGTTGGTCATCATTCATCACTTTTAACTCATCCACAACAACAACAACAACAACAACAACAGCAACAACAACATTTTCATCATTCAATACATAATGATGATACACAATCGACACATTCTTCGTCAGATACAAATACTCCAAATCCTAACCAACCAACAATGATCAATATGACAAATACTAATAATAGTTATCATAGTTTACATGACAATAATAGTGAAACGGGTATGTTTTCCCAATTAGCCTTTTCATTTTTTCTAATAAGAGAAATAGTCATTGACATTTACTATTGTCTACATATATATACGCAAGGGAACAAGCAATATAAATAATTACAAATAAAAAAACATTATCAATCTGTCTACATGTTCCCAAACGATTAATGTTTGCATGTTTTTTCTAGACTGATCTCTGATTTTATACACTATACAAAGTTAACATTCATTTTTCTATATAGTAATCATATTCGAATGCTTTTTCTCAAATCGACTGTCAAGATGTATTACTTTATATATATATATAGGTCTTGTCAATCATTTATAATTGATCATAAAAATGAAATATATTTTAAAGAGATTGAAGTTCACCGTTTTTTTCTTCTTCTTCTTTCTAGGTGACAATTTTGGTAATAGTGTTGGTTCAGGTGATGACGATGATCTTGATGATAATACAAAAAAACGTCAAAAAAAACGTGGAATCTTTCCAAAAGTAGCAACCAATATAATGCGAGCATGGTTGTTTCAACATTTAACTGTAAATATTCAAACTATCTATTTAATTTAAAAATAAAATATATATATTTCATTTTTTTTAAAGCATCCATATCCGTCCGAAGAACAAAAAAAACAATTAGCTCAAGATACTGGTTTAACAATTTTACAAGGTAAAATTTCTATCTTTGAATTATATTTTAAAAAATATTCTTTACTTGTTCTTTTGTCTTTTTAGTTAATAATTGGTAAGTAAAAATTAATATCAAAACATTTTTCGTATTGGTTGAAATTTCTATGAAATTTTTAACCAATTAAAAAATCTCTATATCAGATGTTTATTCTCAATTTGAGACTTGTTACCATTTGCCGGTATACTTCTTTCTTTTTTTGTCAGTTTGTTATTACTATATGTCGGCAATAATAATGATCAAACTTCTATATCTATATATATATATATATAGATATATACATTTTTCTGACATATAATCAACATAAAGTAATAGTATGGTCAATTAATAAAATAAACAATCCGTTCATTGATACTATTCTAGCGTGCAAATAGAAAATTAGAGAAGATCTTCAAGCGTAATAGACAATCCAATTGAACTGTCAAAAAACGTTTTCATGACGATCTGTTTTGCTAGTATAAAGAAGTGATGATTATGATCTATATGCACGCAAATAAAGATCAAAAAAAAATGTATATCTATTGCATGAATGTTGATAATAATAATAATGCGTGTAATAGTCATTGAGTAAATAGGTCACGTTCGTTTAGGGTTTTCTTTTTCTTTTCATTTTGATGTGTAGTGTTTTTTTTTATGTAAAAGATTCGAGAAAAACATCTGGCCGGATGTTGATGACAACAATCTATCGTCGCCATCATTAAAATCACATTAAGAGAACGAGGAGGAGAAACTTAACTTATACATTAGCTTGCCGTGTTTGTATATACATATCTTGAAGGAGAAGATCGTTACTATATCTCTTTTCTGCAAGCTGGACATCATTTATCATTGCTAGATATCTTTATATATTGTAAACAAATCTGTCTATCTTCTTCTCCTGCTGACAGGTTTTTCGAGGTCATATATCTATTCTTATCATAAAAAGGTTAATTTTACTTGAATAATCAAATTTTATTAATCAATATAATGAAAAAAAGAACATCAAAAGAAAGAACTATACATGATAATTAACTTTAATAGTTGTGTATATATTATCTTTAAATAATCAAACAATTCTTTTTTTTATCTTTATAAAGGTTTATTAATGCTAGACGACGTATTGTTCAACCAATGATTGATCAATCAAATCGTGCTGGTAAGTCTTCTATAGATGGTAATGATTATATAAATGAACAAAATTCATTACATATACCATTATCGGTATCTACTTCTTCTCCTATTATAACAAATCGAAGTAAACGTCAGAATAAATCTCGAGAATTATCATTAAATAAAAGAAAACCACATCGACAAACAAAACCTGTTGAAATACCAGTCATTTCTCAACAATTATCCCCTTCATCTATAGTAAAAGGCAAGAGTGTTAATAACGCTCTAACATCATTTTTTTATATCTAATGCTTCCTTCATTATTTATAAATTTGACATTAAAAAGCAAACTCTTTCCTTTTTTTTTCTCTTTTTTTCCAGCCCATGCTCAAAAAGGTAGAATTTCTACTCATGCATCATTGTGTACGTGCGTGTGCGTGTGTGTGTGTGTGTATGGGTAATGCTGCTTTTTTTAAATGCCTTTGACGCGTCAAATGAATATTGCTTAACAATTAATTATTCTTGATCAGATTTTCATTGATAAAAATGTCGTGTGACATATCAATAGTTAAAACTAAATTGATTTGTAAAGGAACAATCAATTTAATTCATCTAGACACTTAAGCAATTGTTCCTCCTCCTCCTTCTCTTCTCCCCTCCCCTCTTTTTTTCTTCTTCTTTCTTTTGCTGTCAAAGTTAATTATTTGCACGAATGCGTGAAATACTACAGATAATGAAAAATGATAAAAAGAAAACCTTCTTTTATTTTTATTAGCCGCTATACCATCGGAATTTACTGATTGTTTTGGACCATATTCTCCTGATGCAGCTGCAGCTGCTGCTATGCATTATCAATTTAGTGGAGGTTATCCAACAGCACCTCATGGTAAAATAAATATTTTAAAAAATTAAATTTCGTTTTTTTTACTTAGATGCCTATTTTTAGATATCTTTGGATCTTACGCTCAAATGTCACAATTTCGAAATCCAATGATGATGATGTATCCAGGTAGTTATCCTGTATCATCAAGTCCAACTAGTATGATGGATCCAATGGGTCATCATCATCATCAACAACAAGAATCATCAGCAGTTACAAGTGGAGCTTCGTAAATGAAATTGACAAATAATATAACTTTCATATATATATCGAATGTTTTATTATTTCTCTTTTTCTTGCATTATTTTTTTTCTCCATAACCGGTGTTCGTATTTCTATTCTTCTTTTTCTTCTTCTTCTTCTTTATTTCTTTAAGTTTTGATGTCGTTATTTGTGCGCATTTATTGCTTTTTTCGTATATTCTTTTTTCTCCTATGTTCAGCAGTTCAACACAAAAAAATAATAATAAGAAAATTAACTCGACAACAAAAGTCACCGATTATGGGTTCTTTATGTTGTATGTAAATCTTCTCAAATATATAAAAACAAAAAAGAATTCTAATTATTGAGCGTTTCAGTTTTTTTTGTCTATGTGTCTTGCGTAATGCATATAATTGTCTTTTTCTTTTTCCTTTCTTTTGTGCTCTCGCTACACATTGATCATTCAACGTTCTAGTTTTTTTTCTTTATTCTTCTTTTTTTGTTTGTCGTCTCGTGGTTTTTCTTTCTCTTAATGTCCATGACACATGAAATATTGTTTTTTTTCTAAAAAAGAAAGAGCGAACAAAAAAATATGTTTAAATAAATAAAAATTTAAGAATAAATCATCGAACAAATAACTTGTTACTAGTACATTGACCCTTCATGTGATAAATTGAACATTAAAGTACGAAAAGTATTATTTAACAGGAACGGCGAAATATATTTTATATGAATTAAACGTTCTCTATGACCCACAGAATTGCCTAGACGGACAAATATAAATTTTCATGAAATCGGCGAAGAACGTCAAGAGAATTTTTTTTATTAGTAATTACATAAAACTTTATCGACAATGTTTACTTCGGTTGACATATACTATAAATCAAAGATTAGCTATATTTACTATGATAAACTATATATGAAATTTCTTAATCAAATATTATTTAGATTCATAAAATTCGATAAAAGCCAGTGATGATTTCTTGTCATTTTAAATACAAAATATGAATATATCAACTAAGATTTAATCGAAATATTTGTTTACAGGAAGAAATACAATGGTTAGCTTCTTTACTACCCTCGTTTTAGTCTTCTTTGATTGTGTATATATAGATCAGTATAACATAGTGTGACGATATATCGATTCTTTCAAATTGTTTTCACTTGGATATATATAAATATATAAAGGAAAAGAAGAATAGAATAGAAAACAATAGAATGTTATAGAAAAGAATTATATATAAAATGTATCTATCGATTTAAGATCAATACATAATATTTCAAATAATGAAATTTACAACTGCGTCGTCATCGCATAGAGAAGCTCTGTTACAAAAATGGCAACGTCATCTTCATGGTCATACAAATATAACTTTTCAAGAACTTTTACATCTATTTCGACAACGTGTATGGATAAGATTTTTCAAAAAATTTCATTTTTATTTGTTTTTCTCAATTCTAGCAATTATTAGAAACACTTTTTTCCTTATTTGATCGTGATTCAAGTGGTTTACTTTCAGAATCTGAATGGATTGGATCTATTTATAAAGTTGCTGAGTAAATTTAAAAAAAAAATGTATATATTTATTTCATTTCTATTTTTATATAGAACAGCGAATCGTACAAAAGATATTCGATCACTTGAAACATTTACTCATAGTTACAGACATATGTCACATGATCATGATTCATTATCATTGAGTAATTTTTGTAAATTATTTGAAGATTCATCTGTAAAATAAATTAAAATAGCAAAAAATATGAATTCTTAAATTATTTTCTTTCTTTAGTTCCGGCGACAATTTGCTTCATTATTTCTTGGTGAATCAGATACAATAACTGTTATGGAATTTATAGATATACTTCGAGCAGTTTCCAAGTTTGCTCATAATAATTAATTTGTTATGTTTTTCTTTTATTTCATTGATTATTTAAGTGTTAAATCAGATACTAAATGGCTTTCATGGCTTGCTTATCAATTTCATATTATAGCTGGTAAACAACGACATCATATACCTGTGGAAGAAAGCGTGAATTTAGAAACATTTAAAAATAGTTTTTATTTTAAAGTTGTATGTATAACAATAGATAAATTGTTTTCTTTTCTATAAAAATATATTTTCATTTTTTTCTTCAAGCCACAATTAGCTGAATGTTTATTTAATTATCTTGACGTACATAAAACTGGTCGATTAACATTAGAAAATTTTATTCAAAGACTTGAATTTATTGTTGAAGCTAATAATATTGAAAAAGTTGAATTTCTTTTCAAAATATTCGATCATGATGGTTAGTTTAATTTAATAAAAAAAGTAATATTTAAAAATAAATTTTAGATGATGGAATTATTGAGTTTTATGAAATGAAATTATTACTTCGTTGTTTTCTTGAACAATCACCATCATTGGATTTAGAAGAAACATTAGCAGAATTAACAGCTACTTTATTTAAAGAAACTGATGTTGATCGATCAGGTGATATTAGTTTAGAAGAATTAACAAGTGCATTTAGACGAAATGAACATTTATTTAAAGTTCTTTCATTGAGGTTAGAGAGAAAAAACTAAAGAATATCTTTGTTTTTATTATAAATTATCTTTTTTTAGTACACATAGTTGGATTCAACCTAAACCAGTATCAATTAGTAAAAGTTATAAACGTTCATTAACAATTCGTAGTTGGATACGTAATAATATTGGTTTAGTATTTTTCTGGTCATTATATTTATTTATATGTTTTTGTATATCTATTAATGTTATTCGTATTTATCTTATTCAACAACAAGCTCATTATCTTATTATTATTGCTCGAATAAGTGGTAAATTAATCATTATTTGAAAATGAAAACTATTATTTTTTCATTTAGGTGGTATGCTTAATTTTAATTGTGCTTTAGTACTTCTATTAATGCTTCGTAAACATATAACATGGCTTAGAACAAAAGGTGGTGGTGTAATTCTACCACTTGATCATCATATTGATATACATAAAATTATTGGAATTATTATTTTAGTGGAAGCTCTTTTACATACAATAGCACATTTAGCATATTTAGGTTATGTATTTTATGTTTGTGCATTAGCAAGAGATTGCGGTTTTCCATGTGAAGGTGGTAATCATAGTAGTCTTCATTATCATTTATATAATGAATCATCAGCTGATCCATCAATATTAACAACAAGGTATCATTATGATCATACAATAAATAAATGTGATACATTTCAATATCATGGATGTGGTGGTAATTGGAATAATTTTCATACAGAAGTCCAATGTTCTACTCGTTGTAGTAAGTTATATTATTATTTTATATGTATAATAGATTTTATATTATTACGAAAACAATTTAGAACCATATCGTGAAACAGGTCATACCTATCTTGATGCTCTTCTTACGACTAAATTAGGACTTGGTTATATAACTGGTGTTATTGAATTCATTATAGGCGCAATTTTTTATATAATGTGCTTACCATTTGTACGAAAAAGTGGTTATTTTCAAGTAAATAAATAAAATATTAAAAATATATTATTTATAAAAAATTTTGTTTTAATTTAGTTATTTTATTGGTGTCATATGTTATGTCTTCCATGGTTAATAATAATGCTTTTACATGGACCACATTTTTGGAAATGGTTATTAATTCCAGGTTTTTTATATCTTATTGAAAAAATTCGACGTTATCATAAATCACGTTCAAATAAACATGGTGAAACATTTATTATGGAAGCTATTTTATTACCATCTCAAGTAAAATTGTTCTCATTGAAAATATTATTTATATGTTACCATTTTTTTTTCTTTTAGGTTATTCATTTAGTAATTAATAAACCAAGAAAATTTCGATATAAACCAGGAGATTATATTTATATTAATATACCAGCTGTAGCTAGTTTTGAATGGCATCCATTTAGTATTAGTAGTGCGCCAGAACATAAAGGTAATAAAACAGACTTTTTTTTCTTCAAAAGATATTTCTTATTTGGATCTTTTCCATCTTCATAACTGATGAAAATATAGAAGAAAAAGATTTGAATAATCCCCAGTGAAGAATTTTTGTTGATTTCAATCGAATTATTCTGCAATAAAATTAAAATTGATTGATAATTCTGATTAAAATTCATTATTTTACAGAAAAATCGAGATTATTAATGAATAATTCGATTAAAATCAACGGAAATTTTTCACTGGGACTCGAATATTTTAAGCTTAAACAATAGTTTTAATGTTTATTGACAAAATCTGTTACAATATAATGAGAAATTCGTATTAAGAATGATCGGATAAAGATATACAAAGAAAATAATTTTTTTTCTTCTTTTAGACAGTCTTTGGCTTCATGTTCGTGCTTGTGGTCATTGGACTCGACGTGTTTATGATTTATTTCGAGCAAAATTACATCAAGAACATGGTTTTTCTCCTGATGATAATAGTCATACAAATCTTCGTTCATCAATGCGTTCACGTATGTCAAGATCTTATATAAGTGAATTACGTGGTTCTGTGCAAGCAGATACACATCCTCAAGCTGATGTAAATAAAAGTGAACATATAATTCGTCCATCCTGCCAAACAAATACTAAAACTAATCCAAAAGTTAGTTCACTTTCATTACCGCAAGTAAAATTTATGAGACGATCATCACCATCATCACCATCATGTCATTCAGCAATCAGTTTATGTGATCGTAATAGTTCATATACAACAAATCAATCATTTGAAAGTGATAACAACATAAGTGATACTAGAAAGGAAGATACTATAAAAGAAGATACTATAAAAGAAGATATTGAAGCAGAAGAGACTGAAACAGAATATACTAATAGAGAAGATATTAAAAAAGAAGATATTAAAATAGAAGATATTAAAACAGAAGTAGTATTACGTCAAGCACCACACAAACATAATAATAAATTAACTGTTCCACCTGTCGGTGATTATTGTATACGAATATCAAATACACCATCTATGGTTGATGAACAACAGGAACTTGGATTCAATGATTCACGTTTATCGGATGCACTTGGTTACTTACGTATGTATAAAAATCGTAATCGAGTACAATTAAATACACTTCAATTTAACGATCGAGAAGATTTAGAAGTAATAAATAATCGAAGATGATTTTCTTATACAAGAAATATAATCATATTTTATATATTAGATCTTAATTGATGGTCCATATGGTGCTCCATCTCAACATATATTTGAAGCTGAACATGCTGTTTTAATAGCAGCTGGTATTGGTATAACACCATTTGCATCTATTTTACAAAGTATAATGTGTCGTTATCGAAATCTTCGACATAAATGTCCAAATTGTGAACATATTTGGGATAATCCACAAAATGATGAACCTTTCGTGAAAAAAGTAAATATAAAAGTTTTGAATTTAATTCATTGTATTTTTATTTTGTTAAGGTGGATTTCATTTGGGTTACACGTGAACAACGTTCACTTGAATGGTTTATTAGTTTATTAGCTCGAATGGAAATTGAACAACAACATTTAAGACAAAACTCTGATAAAGGTCCTTTACTTGAAGTTCATTTATATGTTACAAGTGCAAAATCAGCAGCTGATTTAAAAGCACTTAATGTTTATTTATCATTGGATTTAATCGGAAGAGAAAATGCAGCTAATTGTGATGCTGTTGATGGACTTCGACAACGAACCAAACATGGTCGACCTGATTGGGATCAAGTAAAAAAAAATCTTTTCTTTTTATTAGATAGAAAATTAATCCATATGTAATAATAATACATGTAGGACATTTTAAAGCTAATTAGTATACAAAAAAAAAAGATTCATATTTAAAGATTAACTGAATCATAAAAAAAATTCTTATGAATATAAAATAAATATCCCAGCTTTTTAAAACCTTCTAATATCATCGCCTGACTTTCAGCAGAATACATTGAAACCAAAGAATCTCTAAAAGTATTCATGTCTAGGATTGGAGATTATTTCAATTATATTCTACAATTTAATTAGAACAGAAATTCTTATTTCAGAGGTTTAGACATTCTAATTCAAAATAAACCATAGAAAACTTTGTTGATGTAAACATGATATCTTCGAATGGAAACAACTATCTATGTTAACATTTTTAAGGCTTTTTGTAGGCGTTCTGAAATCAAAAAATATTATGAGAAGCTCTAAAATAGTCTGAGTACTATCTTTCTAATTTTCTTGAATCGTGATATTCTATTTTTATATTAAATTTAACACAAAGATCTATATATCTTAATCATTTTTTTCATGCGTATACTTTTTGCATGTTGAATATAAATCTTAATATAATTTTTAATGAGTACAAAAATTAGCCTGAAGCATATTACAATAAAAGAGCTTTTGAACTTTCCTTTTTTTAGTTTCATATTGTACAAAAAACATATAATCGATTATTAAATTTTCTAAATATGAAAATAGCTTAAGGTTTCATCCATTGTAGGCAATATACTTATTACTCTTTCTATATTTGTATGATAGAGATTTAAATTACATAAACATAATATAACTTGTGTCATGAAGATTTCTGACGCACGTGTTACTATTTATATTTCAGTATTTAGTGTCAACACCTTTTCTCTAGATATTTTTATCAATAACAACTTAAAACAAAAATAAGCTGTTCTGTAATTAATCAATAGAAGTTCTAAATTATATCCTTTTTTTTATGAATATATCACGTGCAGGTTTATACAGTTCATTTTACTATCTCAATATTGTTTAGCTGCAAGTTCTTTTGCCCCTAGAATACCATTTTCGTAGTGAATATTACTTATATTTGTTTTCTTTTAGGTTTTTGGCGATTTATTATGTGCAAAGAAAGGTAAAATATCTGTATTCTATTGTGGACCACCGGCATTATCAGGTATTTTAACAACAAAATGTCGTCAATATGGATTCGCTTATAAAAAGGAATTATTTTAATATTTTATTCGTTTTCATTTATCATTATTAATTGTATTTTTTCTATTTGAAAATAATTTCAAGTACGCATGCGTTTATTTATTTGAAAAAAGGACAGTTTTTATCGTTTTATTTGTACGACTTTTTCTTTTTAATTAAAAAAATATATAAAATCCGTTGATTACAAAACATCAAAGATTACACATTAATATTGACGTAAATGCAAGATATATATATGTGTGTATGTAATACAATAACGAAATAAGTACTTGTATCTTCAATTATTTTAATATTTAATGATTTGTATGACCTCTCTATGTCATTTGGATTTAAAGTTGGATATATATAAATATATATATACGATAGGAGAAGAGAGGGAGAGACAGGAAATAAGATAGAAAGAATAAGAATAAAAAAGAGAATAAATAAGGGAGAGAGAGAGAGAAAAAAGAGAAGAAAAACATAGTTTTTGTTTAATTGGTCGAACTAATGAGGATTTTTTTTTGTTGTCACTTTGATGAGTCATTACTTCTTCTTTTTAAGCAGACACTTATAAGTCAGACCATTCATTCGCTTTTCTTGACATTCAACTCAACATCGGTGAAACAAACATATTAATGATCAGGTAACAATATATGACCATATAGTTGTTGACATCTGTAACTTATGAATGGAAATGATAATATTTATAAATAATATATTATCCGTAAAGTAGATCGAAAAGTTTAAATTCTTGTCAAATTTGATGAATGTCATGATCATATCAAAAACAGTTCTCTTTGTCTTTTATAATAGAACATGAAATCATTCACATTTTCCTTGCTTTCTCAATTGTGCTATTATATTAACATCTCTTTTATATTTTCAAATAAATTATTAAATATGTATATCATAGCCAAGAAGTAAAAACAGTTAAACATACTTTTAAAATAAACATTTCTAGTATACACCTACGTCTGTATACGTATTGAACTCATTCATAAGGTCAAATTCACCTACATTAAATTCTAATTAAATTATTAAAGTTTCATTACCCTAATCGTCTTAGTCTCGTTTATCGGCATATAAAATCCGTTTTCTTTGTATTTCCTAGTTGAATTAAACAACATGCTCATCTAGAATTTTCATAATAAGGAAAAATAATATTCAAGAATGTTTCTTTCTTACATATCTACGGTTCATACTGATCTTTGAAAAGTATAGTTAAAATTCTAATCTTTTGTAATATTTCTTTAGTATGATTATGTTCACATCATATATTATCATATTTTCAATTATCTCCGGTCTTGTATTAACTAAACCTATACAAGAAAAAGTAACGGATGACATCGATGTACAAGATAGAACAATCAGTCAAGCATTTCAACAAGCTGATATGGTTCTTAATCGTTATTCTTATTTAATGAAATCAGACACAGATCAACTTGTTCATGCTATGTTACTTGTTTTAATCAATAATCCAACATCATTTCCATATATACCACATCGTGCATTAAGCATAGTAATGAAAAATGTAGCACAAAAATTAGGTCAAGATGATGTGGATATATTAACAAAACCATTTCTTTTATCTATTGAAGAGCTTGCTTCAAACAAATTTAAACAAATACCATCATCATCATCATCATCATCACCACCATCATCATATGAATTAACTGATGATGTTAAAATTCAAATAGAAGATGCATTGGATAAATTTATTCAAGATCAAGAAAATACGTCCCATATGTAGGTACTAGCAGAAAATTATTTTTAATTATACAAGTAAAAATGAACTTGGCGTTGCGCAAGAACTTTTTTGATTTTTTCTTGTATTTATGTCGTGCGTATCAAAATTTGTTGAAATAAAATATCTATTCATAAGACAAAAAAAACACATGTTTTCAAAGTTAATTAATTCATATAAATAGAATAAAAATTTATCAAATGACGTCAATAAAACTATGAAGTAAACGGAAACGTGCAATAATTATTTCGTATGATTAAACTCTATTTGAAATTACCGACGTATCTAATAGGCTTCAAAAGTAGTCTGATTCTCATCGAATTCTATTTTTTTTTCTGTCAAGTACAATTATGTCTCATAAGAAGTTGTTTGGTCTAACGTACTTGTTGTCTTTGTCTAAGGATTCATTATGTTGAGAAAATATTGATGACTATACACATATGTTATATGATGTCAATGAAGAAGAAAGTTCTTATGTTGAAGTATTGATCAATGTAACATGTTGTTTGTTTGAAGTGGGTATACTAAGAACTTTATTGAACAAGTATTTAAAAATAAATCAATTAACACTGATTCTCATCATATTTTTGAACAAAGAAAATATTAACTAATCGTACTTTATAATGAAAATATTTTTATAATAGAAAAAAAAGTGTAGTATCACCTTATTATAAAATTTTAACACATTTTCTTTCATTCTTTAATGATAAAGTTATTATCAAAATTAAAAATATTTTATTCGCCAGACAATAATCAGAAAACAAGCATATTTCTCCGAAAGAAAATTCATTATTTTCTATAGATTTAAATGTGGCGTGACCAAGCGTGGGCGCGACCTGGTCACCGAGAGAAAAAAACTAGTAATTACCACCACTTATACTACTTTTTATGCATTTTTTTATCAAGATTCATGTGGCATTGTCCGGACACCTGCGATATTCTGGTTACGCTACTAGATAAATGGCTACTCTTTTCAATATAAGATCTTTTTAAAACTAATAGTACTTGTTTTTCACCTTTCTACAAACAATTACTTATTAAAATGAATTACATTAGTTGACAATAATACTTGTCTTACATCTACGATTTTCTAAACATATACATTCTTATGAAAATATTTATAAAAATAGTTTGTCTTTTATCTCATCACTCATCATGTAGGAAAGTAGCCGCCAGACGCATTGAAATGATTTTTTAATGTAATTATTGAATAATAGAAAGGATAGTTGAATCGGTTTGATTCGGAGAAATTGATAAAAAACAATAAGATCAAAGGTATGTCAATATTATCACGAGAAATAAAAGTAGACGTGGAGAAGTATCAAGAGTTACTATGACCTTTTACAATAAGAAATACGAACTGAACGGAGAAAACAAATGCTGTGAAAGACGTAGTTATTATTTTATTTCACAGTCGTCATTATATTAATGATAATAATTGCAATGAAATATAACAAAATAGGTTACAATATGTTGTTAATAAATAAAAGTAGAACAAACTGTATGTCACGACTCAATAATTAATTGTATGAAAAATATAATAATTTTGATAATAACAAAATATTTATTATTTAAATTTTCCTATACCATTTCTATGTTGTTTTTAACTAAATTATATATCAAAATATATTATTTCGGCTACTAATATAGTTATATTGTTATGAAATACATTCGAGGTATTATAGAATTTGGTATTTTGCATATTTACAATAAATTGACTAAAACTAATATGCCAAAAAAAAGAAAAAGTCGTTAGAGAATTGATTAACCATCATGAATAATTGGAAAGATATAATTTCTTCTGATTTTCAGCAACTACTGGAAATTTATAATAGTTCTTTTCAAATTCATCTTAATTTCAGCAACATTTGAAATGAAAACTGACGTGAAGCAAAACATATTGAGATGAAAAAAATAAGAAGGTTCGTTAAATTTAATCATAAGTATCGAAAACTCAATAGCAAATCAGTTTACATCGACATATCTTTTTCGTTTACTTTAAATGAATTCAATTTTCATATAATAATTTGTAATAAATAACTTCGTACAACGATCCATCTAATGAATTAAAATCAAATTGTGAACGATAATGGATTGAAAACATTTCAATTCACTATACGATTTTTATTGATTACTTGGACATTGTCGTGCTAGTCGAATAATACAATTATGAGCTATTTTCCAGTTAATTTACTTGATTTTTTTCTTATATATTTTCTCAAATATTATTATATTGTTCAAGAACTTCGCATAATAATTGTATATCTACTATAAGACTAACCAAAAAATATTCTAGGAGAGTTAGATGATTGTTCACATTCATTTTTTAAGTTTTATTATGTATATAATGACGTTAATTAATATATATTCGGCACATATACAATATGTTTTTGGTTAACAAAATTACTCATCAAAACGATCGAGTTGAATATGATGATAGTCCCTCACACTACAAAATATAAATGCTAATTCATCTATTTCATTAATATGTAGACAGTTGTTCCTATTTCCTTTAATTATAGACACTAAAATATTCATCGTCATGACTCTCGAAATTATCTAATTTGGTTAAATACCTATTTTTACTCTCTTCGATCTATCAAGAATAAATTGTTTAGTAAAGCCATTTTTTTATTTCTCTTTCTTATTTTAATCATCGCATATTTTAATTTAAATTATGGAAATAGTATAAGTCAGAAAAATAACATCTGTTAATTATTCAAATTATTTTATCCATGAGCACTCATTCAGAAATTTCTCTTTTGACAACGTTACATATATTTCGAATCCTATCATTCTAGTGCATATATAAAAAGAAATAAATCATAATCCTAAAATACGCAAGAAAACAAACCCATGAACTTGAGTTGTCATCAGTTCAATTTTATTCACTGTTGCAAACTTAATTATGATTCTTTTTTACTGAATTAATATTTATTTTGAAAAAATTGTTTTTCTTATTTATTAATATATTATTAAGGAAACAAGTTTCTGTAAATATGTACTTAAACAACAACAACAACAACAATAGTATACATGAAAAATAAAAGAATCAACAAAATTTCAAATAATTTCTTTAAATAATCTTGGTCGATGATTTGACCATAATGGAATAAATTGAAATCGTAAACGAAATCGACGATGTCCTCTTTTCCAATGTGTATTTTCAATTAATTCTTGTTGTTTGATTTCATTGGGTGATTCATTTGAATTTGATAGATCTCCAGCAGATATTCCTTCATTATTTGATGATACGGATGTTTTCATTGTTAATATTTGATGTGATAATTCTTGTTTACGTAATAATTTCGAATTAAAATGACACCAACATGGAAAATATTTTTTTATAATATATGATATACGTATTAATAGAAAACTATCACCAAATCTTGATAATAAAAATAAATAATGACATATTCGTAATAGAAGTTCATGATCTTCATATAATGAATATGTTATATTATTTGATAGATTATGTTTAAAAAATAATTGATAAAATTGTTTTAAATGAAATAACATTTGAAGAATATATTGTGGAAATGTGAATAAAATATATTTAAAGAGAAATATTAATAATAAACAATGACATATATGACATAATGAATGTTGTTGTTTTAATTGAATTAATGTTGTTTTAATCGATAAACTATTTGTTGAATTATTTTCTAAATCTTTTTGGTGTTGATAAGAAAAATCTGTTTGAGAATAATCTGGTTTATTATTTGTAAGATAAATAGATTTGGTTTGAAATGGATATGATGGACGTACACCTGTTGGAAAAAAATGTTTATATAAATGTCTATATGAATAATTATTATCTTGAAATAAATTGGAATTTTTTCTTAAAATTTTTGAATAACATTTAATACAAGTTTTCTTTTCAACCATTAAACGTAAATTTTCTTGTTCATTATCAACTTGTAAATAATCAAGTTTAGATTTAAATGAAATATTTAAAATTAAACATATGAAAATAAATGAAAATATGATGAAATTTATTAATGGTAATAATATCATATTAAATGTTACTAAAGGTAATAATGTTATTGTTTGTGGATGTTTTGGTGTATAAAATATGAAATTATACGCGAATATAAGTGCTAACGAACCACTTAATATTAAGGCTACATTTGTATGTTTTGTTAATAAAAGACTTTGGCCATTAAAAAAATAACTTGAATATGTATTTTTTCTTAAACAATAATAACGAAGAAAATATTGAAGTACACTGATTGAAATAATAAATAAATGAAATGTGCTAAAATTCATTAAGATTTGTTGTAAAAGATTTAATGGTAGTGAATAAAATGTAATTGATGAATGATGAACAAGATTTGGATGATAATGTTTTAATAATAATTTTATAAAATAAACAATTGAAAGACACATATTTGTAAATGAAAATGCACGTATCCAATTACGATGTAAACAACAATAAAGTAAAGTTTTCGATGGTAAAAGTAATAAACATTGATTTTGTTCACTAAAAAAAATATTCAAAAGAAAAGAATAAAAAATATTTTAGATTCATTGTTCTTTACTTTGAAGATTTTTTCGATGATTTCTTTTGAAATGTTACTATAAATACAAATGTATGTTCCAATAAAATTAAAATTAAAAGACAAATTTCAATAATTTGAAAAAATGTAAAACTTTTATAATGTTGAGAATTTTTTTTGGGACTACTGTGCCATACAGTTTTATTTAATTTTGTTATTAGATCAGTATTATTTAATGCTAAACCCATATTAGAAAGAATAAAATTATTTCTATTTTAATCTACAAATAAATATAAATTATATTATATTAAAGATCATGACAAGGAATATGTATGATAATAATCAAGATAAAAACTATATATGTCAGTCAAAAAAAAGAGAAAAAAAATCATATTGGTTCTTTGATATGAATCAAATAAAAGAAGAAATATAAATGCAAATGATTCCATATAGTTTTTGTTGACGATGCATTCATTTAAATATAGATATATCTTTATATGAATAAGCGACAAAGAAGAATAAGAAGAGAAAAAAGGAAAATGATGAGTTATAAGATGTGTTTCAACGTTCAAGTTTGCCTCAGTCTATCTATATTTCTTTTCCTTTCTTTCCTCATAAACATACTTAAACACAAACATATAGAGAAACGGATATGTGTTCATGATGCGTTTACTATGTTCAAAATAATAATACTCTTTGACAGTTATTCTAAAACCTCCCACAAATTAATGATGGTCTACGTACTTAAAAATAACTGAAGCATTATATATATCTTTGAAAAATATCTATCTGTATATGTTTATTTATTAGAAATTAATTCAAATATTTATATATTGAAATTTTCTTTGAACTCAAGTACCCAATGAAATATAATTTAGTTTAATTTTACTGTATAAATGATGAATTACTGTTATTTTTAGTATTATAAAAAGACAGAAAAAAAGAAGATTGATTTTCCAGCCAAGCGAAACAGAAAATCTCATTTTTTTTTGTTCTTTTCTTCTTCTGTCATGTTAGATTATATCATCAAAATATAGAAAAGTTCTAGCTCTTGTTCTTATTAGAAACATGCTGAATGAGATAACTATCTTCTTCTTTTTTTTTGTAGATTTATGCATGCATTCAAAGAAGAAACTGATGCTTTTGTTCATCTTACAGCTCGAATTCACTAATATTCTACAATCATTTATTCATTTTTTTCTCTCTTCTGTCCTCTTCTGCGATTGTTCAATTCATCATTGTTAGAAATATAATAACGACTAGCCCTTTTTCTACTTATGAAACAGACTTTGCCGATTCTAATAAACTAATACATATAAATAATTGTACTAATCTATTTTTTTTCAGATGTCTTTTACATGTCGTTTAATGCGCGAAAATGAATTTACACCAGAATTTGAATTGTTTATGATGGAAACATTTTTTCAACATGAACCAATGAATAAATATTTACAAACACAAATACCTGATGATATTGATCTACCCTGGTTAAAACAAGTATTAAATAAAGCTAAATATGATAATCTTACTTTGGCGTTTTATGATACTAATTGCAATCGTTCTTTACCTATTGCTTATGCTATAAATCATCATGATAAAGTAAACGATGACGATCATTCTGATACTCTTTATTCATCATTAAATCAAAAATATTTACAAAAATATGAACATATTAGTGGTATATTAACAAAATTACATGAAAATATAGATTTATTTGAAAAATTTTCATGTCAAAATTTATTTCATATTTATTTTTTAGTTGTTGATCCTAATTATCGACAAAATAAATTAGCCAGTCAATTAATTAATTCTTCAATATGTTTAGCAAAAGAAAAAAACTTCGATATGATTTATGCTGATGTTACTAGTAATTATTCATTAAATGCATTTCTTAAGAATGATTTTCAAATTATTAAAGCAATTAATTACAATTCCTATGAAAATTTCTATGGAGAAAAAACTTTTGAAAATGTCGAAATACATAAAGGTTGTTCGATTGTTATAAAAGATTTAAGACTTGAATAAATAAAAAAAAACTTCCTTTACCTTCTTCAATAAATTTCATCTTATAAAATATACTATTAATAGAAGTAGAACGTTGACTAAATTCAACTGGAATAAATGCATTACTCGGAAATGACAGAGACGTTAACAAGAAAATCGGTAAATGTTATTAACAAATCAGGAGCAAAAAAAGAAAAAAAGAAAACAGAGAAAGCAAAAGTACCGAGACGAGTAATCTTCTCTCAAAGAATAACTAAGTTAAAATCTTTTACAAAAAGAGATTAGTTGATGCTATTTATATTTTCTCAAGAGAAATTGTGCATGTAACACATCCAAAGTTTAGAAAGAATTTTTAAAATATCATATCATGAATTAATTCTAATCTTTCTAATATTAAAAAACTTTGAGTACATATTTTCTTACATTGGTTCGTTAAACACGCACCTAAGGCGTCTATAATATTTTTAGTCAAACGAAAAAACAAAGTTCTTTAATACGATACAATATTTTTCCATTGACAAAAAAATTAACAGGAGACTCTGTTATTATAAATTATTTAAAAAAAAACAGAAACTTTTGGTAATGTTGTTTGACGACATTATAGAATCAATCAAGAAGCTCATTGACTTGTTATTCAATTTTCTTATTTAATTAAACAGCTCATTGGGTTTCTTTGTCACATTTAAATGTGTCTTTATAATACTAATGCTGTAATTGATTGACATAATTTATAATCTATGAGATAGGTTAGAAATAGTCATTGAGTATGAAGACATGTTTACCTTAAACACTAACGTTAAGTATATTTTCTATGACATTCTTCGTTCTTTCGCAATGAACATCAAAGTACTATTTACTCTTATTTTATTAGTATCCATAAATATATAATTTAAATAATCACACAGTGAAAAATTACAACCTTGTAACTAAATCTATGATTGTTCTACAATGCCATTGAATTCTAATGTATATATATCTAACGGCTAATATTCGAAATTTATTAATAATAAATTCTTTATAACTATAGAGAACTAAAAATAGATCGAGATGAATAAGCAAATATAATTGGAAAATTCTAGTTCTATAAGATATTATTTAAGATTTAAAATCAATAACTTATTAGTATTCTATTTTTCCTATACCTGGAAACTGATTTAACAAAAAAGAAAAACAGAGTAATTAGCCAGTATGACTAGGAAATGCATTAAAAATATAGATGAATGATAATGTAAGTAAATAAGCAGAAGAAGAAGAAGAAAACATAGGATGTATTAAAATATTTACTCGTCAAAATTGAATTGTTCATTATCATAGAATAATATTTACGACTATTTTAAGAATAGGTAATATAGAAAAATACTTGAAAGTAACATGTGCTTCACTTATTTGTAGAATATTTTTTATTTACAGACTATTTTTTCCTCTCTTTGATTAACGATTTATGTTAGTCGTCCTTGAAGTAGAAAACATGAAATATTAATAGGTAAGATAATTATAGCAAGAATACAATAATAATTCAAAGAAAAACTCTTTAGACAAATGAATTTTTTTAGGAAATTTTATATAAATCACTTGATATAATGAAATAAAATCTTAATTTTAAAATTAACACTGATGAAATTTATTTTATTTCACATTTATCAGTATATATATAAACCATTAGTACTTTCATGTTTCTTTTTTTATTTACGTTGTTTCCGATGCACTCAAGGAACCTAATTAAATCATCAACAATAGAACCTATCGAACTATAATTGTGTGATATAAAATCTGTCAGTATAAATTTGATTTAATCATATAAAAATTATTGATATATAGTAAAAACAAATTATATTGTGTCATAATACTAAAATCTAATTATTGATAGGATTGAAGAAAAAAAACCTCGAATAATATTGTATTACTTACACTATTGTTAATAGTCACAAGACAAACGTTCATCTTGATAATAAATATAACTAATAAATGCACGCATCCCTCCTCCTCAATAATATTATTACTTTTCCAGTTTATGAAGAAAAGAAAACTAACAACATCGTATTTTCTGCCCAAGAGTTACGATGAACTCCTTTATTTATTTTCCTATTTTAGAAAAAAAGAATGTAATATTGTGAAATTGACAGATTTGCTCGAAGCCTTTTACTTGTTATTATCTCCTATTGACATATTTATTATTCACACTAACAATAGCAATTTGAAAACTCTAAAGGTACATAATACACAAAAATAACAACAACATATACACAGATGATTAATTGTTAGTGTTAAAAACTTTTATTTTGACATTGAATATGCAAGAACTAATTTATTTTTGATTGTGTATGACTTTTTGTTTTTACAACGACGCAATTAATGGATTGGAAATTTTGTCATATAAATCATGTTATAAAAAACAAGAAAATAGTTTTTATGAATTCTTAATAAAAAAAATTTCTTATATTTATATCCATTGAAAAGATGTCACGTAGAAACTCTTTAGAAAAAAAAACAAGTAATAGAAATTTTGAAAAGATTTTTATCTTAAATAGACGCAATACTATCAGTTAACAGATTTGAGAGAATAAAATTTGTTTCTCATTTTTCATTTGAATTCAATGAAACAAATCTTCTGTAAAAAGTTATTAATTTGACAATCATAAATGATCTCATTAATTTTAATACACATGAATAATTACTATTTTAAAGAATCAATTGAAAATTGATTCCTTTATAAAGAAAAAATGCGGAAATACTATTCTATTTCGACAAGTCAATGAAAATCTAATTTCAATCTAAATGAATGTATTAATTTCACGGATCATTTCTAGTCCCAAATGGAGATGTGTCAAATCAAATGAATTAATTAGACTTATGAACTACTTATTTTACTTCAATTATATATAATTAATATAGATATTAATAAGAAAAAAAAGAATATAAGTACATAAAAATATTTAGCATCAAGAGATCTTATTTTATTTCATATCAATAATACGCAATAGTAAATGAGAATCATTTACAAGAGTATAATTAATAGTAAGTATTATTTACATATTATATTCAAAATGTCATTGCTAATATTTTGATTGAAATATTACGTATTCACTGGTTAAACTTATAAACATTTTTCTTTCATTTAGATTGCAATAAACTTAATAAGATGAATTACATGCTCGTTATTATCTAGTTTTTTTTAATCAAATTGAACAAGTAATAAGTTGATCTGATAGAATATTTGACAGTAATTAAAGTATATCATAAAAAAGATGAAAATTTCATTTCTAGGTTTGTTAATATATTTTATGAGATCATATATACATTGAATATGAAAAGTCTAATGAAATTTTTTAATTATCATCAAATAAAATTAAAGTTTGAAGCGATTATTACAATCTGTCTGGAGCTTTTTATTCCTACCCTTGATTTAAAATTGCTTCTAAATATTTTAACGTATTATGTTTGTCATTTATATTCTGTATGATAGTAATAAAACGTTAACCTTATTTTCATTGATTTTTAGATATGTAGACATGAGTTGTATCATAATAAGTTTTCCGCCTAATAGTTAAAAGGTAAATATATTATTACTCATAGGAACAATCGAATAGAAGAAGAAAAAACGACAGAATCAGACAAAAATTAGTTTAATGATAGACGTGTAAGCGATATTAATATCTACCGATACATCATGTAGGGTTTTATTAGTATTTAAAAAAAAATATTTAGTAGTATTTATGGTATTTTTTTAATATAAAAAGCACATGCAATAGTAACATATTTTGATTCATTCATTTTTTACGCCTAAAAGGCAGATAGATCTTGCGGATGAGAGAATACTAATAACATCCGGACTATACGCATACATAAACTCAAACAGAGACAGTAATAAACTATTTTAAAAAAGAAAAAAAAAACGTTTTTTTTTTCTCTGATTGCAGATAAATAGTCTGTCTAACGAAGATAACTATTTTATTGTCTGATTATTTTTTTCAATATTATAATAAGGTAAATTACATAAAAACATAACTAATAAAATACATTTTTTTTTCTTTTTCTTTTATTAGGTGATGATATATTGAAGAAATGTAAGTATTAGTTTAAATTGAAGTGTTGATTAGTTCAAAAATGAATCAAAAGAGAAAAAAACATCCCGTTAAGATTCTATTTAACAATTTCTAAGACTAGTCGGAAGCACTTGTCATCAATGAAGAGGCAAAAAAAAGGTCAGATTCTTGTTTGAAAATAATATTGTGTTAATGATTCTTTTTTTTTCCCAACAAAGATAAGATAAGACATTTTTATGTGTTAGACATTCACTTCTCAGTAGCATATTTTTTTCTTTTTATATACTCTAGATGTCAACTTTTCTATGTAATGCTGGCTCCTATCTAATTGAACACGAGAGAATAAGACGTTCTTGTAACTGACATATACAAAAAAAAAGAAGAAAGACATCGGCTTATGTCCGTATGTCACGCTTATAATATACATGTCATACTTATATATATATGTGCTCAAATTGAATGAAGAAAAAAAAAAAGGAGTCTTATGATCAATTAAAAAAATAGTTGAATAGAATGAACAAAGGCCAATATACAATACTATTATAAAGACTTTAGAGAATAGAGATGACACTAGTAATGTTTTTAATTTAAATGAATTGACATCTATTGTATAATATGTGTAATAGAGAAAAGACAAAAAGAAAACTTCTCAATCTATAGACAAATGTATTCATGCATTTCAATGAACATATATAAGAATATTTTGCGAGTTATATTGATAGCTAGTATTTTGTAAGATCAAAAATACAACAGAAAAAAAAAGAAAGGCATAAAGAGACTAACGAGGAACTACGCATATATACATGCTTTCAATAAACTATTATATAGTAATTGTCTTATGTCAAATGAATTGTAAGAGTACTTGCAATACAATTCACGTTTTCTTCTAATTTTCTTTCTTTTACTATTATTTATTCGACATGGTATATATAACATGCAAGTGAAAAGAAGAAAAAGGGAAATGAATACTTTTAGCGGAAAACTATGCATTGATAAACTAGACTAAGCAATAGTATATAAAGAAACTGCTGTCATTCAAGCTCAATATAATCATTATTGAGTCGGCCTATTTACTTGTCTTTCTTTGTCGACTTCTAAATTATATATATATATATATATACTGAAAAAAACGTTTTTTTCTATATTATGAATCTTGTTCTGTGAACAAGAATTGCCTAGCTTTGCTAATTTGCTATTTTTCTACTTCAGTTTTCTTTTTTTGTAAGTCTTGCTGAGTCTTGTCGTGCGCATCGTCCGTCAGGCGATCTATATCCTTTTCCCCCTTTCACTATATAAAGCCGAAGGCAGTCATGAGTATGTAAGTTTCTCGGTTGTTGGGCTTTACTTTCACACACCGGTGTATATAGACAGAAACTGGAAGTCTCGAGCGATTTTGTCGTCAACATCATTTAATTCAATTCAACGTACATCGTGCATTATCATCAACAGTAATCATCGAACTTCTAACGGTGTATTCATCTATTCATTTTCTTTTTTTTTCTTTTTTTTTTTCTATATTATCATTCACTCATCTTTTTTGATACCAATTATTATTACTCTCTCCCTCACTCTCTCTCTTTTCCTTCGTTTTTCTGTCACTCACTCATTCACTCACATATATACGAGCTTGAAACGTCTGTCTTTGTCAAAAATAAAAATCCTATCATCATTCTTGTCCGGATTCTACCTATAGACATTTCATTAAAGATTGTCATCTACGTTATTATTATTTAAACATACAAATTTACTTGTATTACAATGAATCTACGGGACAACGAGGTATGCTTTTACGTAATGTTTCTTTTTTTTTAATATTATTATAGGAAAACTTAATAGAGTATAAATGATTGATCTATATTTTATTAAAAAGAAATTTTGTCATATCTATTTATGCATATATAATATAGATATAAAAAGAAATATAATTATTTATTGACATAAGCATCCTTTTTTTATTTGCATTAAAGACATTTGTCTATTTATTAAGTAATCAATTGAGCAGTTTATTTTCTCAAGATTTTTACTTATTATCTTACTTCTTTTCTTTTTTGTTCTATTTTTCTTCTAATCGATCGTTATATTTTGTTCATGACATGATTTCATGTCGACTTAAATACATACATATATAGAGATTTTTCTTTCTTTCTTCTATAATCATTATCATGAAAATCGATATAAATAATAAATAATCATAAATTTAGCTGCTGGTATCAATACATTTAAATCATATTGAATAGATAAATATGTTTTTTTTTACATTTGAAATTGAGCGACTAGTGTAAATATAGAATATTTTTCTGAAGCTTTTCCATGACAATCAATCAATCATATTCAAAAAAGAAACACACATATAAGAGAATTATATGGTGTACTATTGACACTTTTTCTTCTATACCTCGATGTCTTCAGTCTTACTTTTTTTTCTCCTTTCTGTTACATTTCCGTTTAGTAGATTTTTGGTGTTACTTCTTTTCTGCACGTCAAGTGCAAGTCTATAAGATATATAGGAAATAAAAGCAAGAATTTTCTCTTTAACAAAAAAAAGAAATTTTATTTAGAATTTGAACTCGTCAATAACATTAATCAATAATCCAAAACCAATACCAATTAGTATGGCTGATCAAGATACACGCTATCGACTGGTATTATTGGGTGCAAGTCGTACAGGAAAATCATCGATTATTCATATGTTTTTAAATGGAAAATTTTTGGATACATATCGAGAAACTGTTGAAGATTTACATTATAGAGAATTTAGTATTGATGACAAAACAATTAAAGTTGATATATTAGATACTGCTGGTAATTAATTAAGAAAAAAAAGAAATATTTAAATTTTATATATCATATAATTTAGGTAATATGGAATTTCCTGCAATGCGTCGTTTATCAATTGCTACATCTCATGCCTTCATTCTTGTTTATAGTAAATTATAAAATAATAATTGATAATTAGTTTTTTTTTCTTCAATAAAATAATCATTTTAGGTGTTGATAGTATGTCATCATTTGAAGAAATTCGTCGTATTATTGAACAAATTAAAGAACAACGAACAAATTATGGTGAAATTCCAATTGTTATTGTTGGAAATAAAACAGATCGTACAGTTGTACGGGAAGTTGATGAACAACAAGTTCGAGCAATGCTTACTGAACTTGGTCCATTACATTGTCGTTTTGCTGAATGTACAGCACTTGATCGTGCATCAGTTATTGATATATTTCTTAAATTACTTAGTCTTGTACAATTATCAGCTGCAAGACAATTAAGTCCAATTTTAAGACGAAAAGTTAGTGAACGTCTTAAAAAAAAAGAATTTGATGATAAAACAGAAAAAGGTCTTGGTCGTAGTCGAAGTCTTATACGACGAACATCTATGAAAAAAAAGCCAACATCATCGAGTGATAAACATTCATCTGGAACACCTGATTGTTTAATTTCTTGAATTTATTTATTTATTTATATATATATATTTTCAACCCTTTACATTCATTATCCTTTATCTATTTTTTTTCTCTCTTCTGCAATAAAAAACAAGATTCTTCGGTTTTTTTCTAAACATTCTTTCTTTTATTAAACAGGAATATTATTTGTTCTTGCCCATGATCGCATAATTTTTATCATTTGATCTCCTTAAAACAAACACAAACATTAAAATTTTCTTTCTTTAAATAGTTCACATTTTATTACCTTGAGGATGATTTGTATTTCGTAACAAAGATAAAATATCACGAAGTGTATCACTAGAAATAAGAAAAAAAGTATGACTACTATGTAAATATAGTATATTTATTTTCTTACCGAGGTTCATGACCTGCAACAATTTGTTGAAATG